TYYTTTTWWYMAWTTTYTTTTTTCAGGATTGGTGCATACAGGGTTATTCGAAGTTCACAAAACTGGCTGAGAATTGTCACCATACGGGAGTACACACAAGGGAAAGAGTTTACGTCTATTACCACATGGTAATCACCTCATGATAACTCTGTTCCTCTTGGAAGGTTTTCCTAATTATTTCATTCCTTAACTGAAGATGTCTCTAGTCTAAGATACAAACGTGCTGCAAGAAACAGCCAAACTGTCATACTTCAACTTCTTCGTTTCAATTGTGTGAAGAATGCAATGAAACAGTGACTAACAAAGCTAAGAAAAGTAGGAGAAGAGAGGCACTTGAGGAGAAGAACATGTGAATCAATGTACGCCAAATAAGGAGAGAGGGGAAATAAATGGAAAGAGTGCAGAAGAAGGGAGTAGAAGAGAAGGAATATTGATAGGAAGACAGATAACTCTTAGTGTGCAAAAAATCATTTTGGTCGTATCAAGGAATGGCTTAGGAGTGTTTTGAAATGGCACATTGACCCGTGAAAGGAGACTAACTTCCACGTTTTCCATAGATTGACAGCAAGCCATCCTCCAAGATGTTTAAGGAAAATTTACAAAAGCACACTCKAGAGTTTCGTCACGACAAAAATCTTTTACAAGAAAAAGGTGAAGTGAACAAGCGTTAATCGCCATCAAATATTGTAGACATGCTCTGAGCGATCATCGTATTATCATATTGATAGGCGTGCCATTAGAGTGTGGAGCTGTAGATGCCATGTCAGCACAGGTCCCTCTTATTGATACAGACATGTTTATGTATTGGCTGACACAACAGGTGAGATTTTTCCGGGTTCTCCTCACTCCATCTCAAGCATGTTAAGGCTGGGTATTTTGCCACGATATTCTAAAAAAAAATTATTGAACTAAACTAAACTCACAATCTTTGGTTTTGAGGCATAAATGATAATTTGGTGTCAAAAATATTTTAAGCATGGTTTAGTCGATTTCCGGTGGTCACGTGACCATAAGGCAAGCAAAATACGTATTTTAAAATGGGGTGGTCAATATGATATAAAACAAAAACCTTTTTATATAGAGTTTTGACACTTATCACCCTTAACATGAATCTGTTTGGAATGGTTGTCTACCATTTTTATTTTAAGAGATATTTAACAAAACAGGTCACGTGACTTGGTCAAAATTTAAAAAAAAATTATTTTGTACCTAACAGTTCAATGATATCCAACCATTCCAAACAGTTTCTTATAGAGAACAATTTATTGAACAATTCCACTCAAAAATATTTTGGTTTCACATAAATTTCGCCACCCCATTTTGAAAAACATATTTTGATTGCCTTAGGGTCACGTGACCGCCGGAAGTCGATTTTTTCTTCTTCAGAATTTAAAGAAACCTAAGTTACACTTTAAGGCCAAGTTTGAATTTCATAAGGTTAAAATTACTTGAGTTATTAAAGGAATCGTGTTTTTCTAATATCAACAAAATGACCCTGCCTTGAGATTACCATCCTCTCTTTCAATTTCATATCTTTCATACGAAATAGAAGCAAATTAAGTAGACATAGCTCCTTGTGCCCGAAATGCTCAAACGGAAATGTTGTTTTAAGTACCACTGTTGTCCAGGTTCAAGTCCTTGTGTGCATAATATGTGATTTGTGGAGCTTTGTGTGCTAACACATGGGCGAAAAAGATGTTGGGTGCTATTCGCCCTTCATGGCAGCACGGGTGCTGGATTGCGAAAGACGCAGCTCGACGCGCTCTCAAGTCCTAGTGCTATAATAATRATAATAATAAGAGTCAATGTTTCTTAAATCAGATGGGAGAGAGACACATTTTACATACACAGGACGGCTAGGCACTTCCTTAACATAGCAACGTCGACTGAACGCAGAGCACATCAGATAGAAATGGTTCGTTTTAATTCCCCTTCTTCTTTAAAGACATTTTTGACAACGTTCTTTGTTTGACACCAAATTGCAGTGCATATCAAAAGGAATTGACTTCATCCAAGGAACCGTCGATTCGTTCCTAGAAAACCAGTGTGACTCTTTAAGACGAACATATCAGGCGGACTGTATTGTCAACTGTACAGGGGTATCAGCAGGACAACTAGTCCAAGACCACAGCGTGTATCCTATGTTAGGTATGAATAAAATCATTTGATCATTTCTTAAACGAAATTAAAATTCTTCGTTGAAAAATGAATAACCCTTCTGTTATGCAGGTGTAGCTTTAACTCTTCGTCGAGAAGACAGCCCGACTGTTCTTCCTTTTTACGCTTTGACGATGACTGAAAAGAACTGGTACGAAGGAAAAACTCAAGGATCAGTGTTCATTGCACCTAGAGGTAAGGATCGAGCCATGTTGTTGCCTAAAARGTACTGGGCACGAGATYGACATCGTTCAWACGKCTRCACACTCTTTTYACCCCTATAAACGTTCCCCTGCATCCACTCCTGCCCTARAGATGGCATTTACCAATAATAATCTATTTAGGTGATCACAGTCTATGGCTTGGTACGATGCAATTAGAATCATACGACAAGAACATCGGTCTTTCACACCCTGCAGTACAGAGAATGCTTCAAGAATGTCAAACCATCTATCCACCGCTTAAAAACATAAATCAAGACGACCTTCGTGTAACAGTTGGCATACGACCCATGCGTCGAGGAGGCCCACGCTTGGAACGCGACTCACATTACCCTTTCTTAATTCACAATTATGGACATGGACACTTTGGCGTGAATGCTTCATGGGGTTGTGCCTCAACTGTGCTTCGCATTCTGGAAACTAAGTCCCCACAATTTTCGTCTAAATATTAAATGTTTTACAAAATAATTGAGCGCTTATTTTGCCGGGACAACAAAACAAAGCAAAAATACCAAGTATTAATTTATTATTAAATGATAATCAATTATCATATTTATAATTTACATTTTTTATTACATTACATTAAGTAACTTTTGTATAATAAAACAAGCATGTACAATAAAGTAAGCAATTGTAATTTGAAAGAGCTGTTGACCCTAAAAAAGCATTTTAACCTTCTCTCGATCTCTTCGTCTTTCAGTTTCTATTGGCTCTAGATCACACCGTCTTATTTATTGTATATTATGAAACATAACATCCGCAGATCTAACGTGAAATTAAGAATGCAGAATCTAACGTGGAATTAAGAATGCAGAACATTCGAGAGGTTCGAGAAGCATTGCCTTCACCGAAMCTTTTCATAGCTGATCTCTCGTTTTGCCATTTCTTCGTTTACAGCTCGATAAATCAAGAGCGACTGTCGCTTTACTCTTTGATAAAAACTTTATTAAAAATAAGTGTTTCGTAACTCGTGTATGTGACGTTCTCATCTCAAATCAACTCTATGATGCATAGAAATTATTGATCGCAATCATATCTTATTATCTGACATATAAAATAATTATCAATGTTTTCTTATACAGAAAAAAAGTGCAATAAGTTTTATAAAAGGTCAACAGAAGTATATACCAGTTATGGTTACTTCTGGTCTCATTAAAAAAACATAAACATAAAACATACAAAGGAAAAATTTGATATAAACAAATACAAACTTATTGTTTTATAATCAAAATTCCACCTGTTGATTTTGATTCATTTGAATGAATCAGTGTACTTTAGCTAAAGCACGAAAAAGAAGATTTTGATTTCTCAGTCTTGTCAGGCGACGCCTTCAGGTTCATCTCTGAAACGTGCGCCATCTTTGTGTCATCATTTTGAATAATCACGTGAACAAACAGGCAACCAGATGTGTGAGACTCCCCCTTCTTATTGAGCATGATCACGTGACGGTACCCCTGGCGGATACTCGTGACGGGCATACTTGCTTGACCAATGAAATCATCGCTAAAATTATCTTCATCATAGACAGAAAACCTTATTAGTGCAAGCTGTGGGACAAGTATTTTCCTGGTAAACCCTTCACTCCATTTAGGATTGTAGTTGTTATTACGGATTGTTTTAGTCTTAAAAAAGAATTTATCGTCAGGTACGCCGACAATTTCAATTCGAACATAAGGGTCGCAGTCGATCTTGCCTTTGGCTGTTTTTTCTCCTTCTGGAATGGAAAGACGATGGCCACTGATGACGGTGAGTTTTAAAATTCGCGCCATGTCTTGATTTTGTACGTCATTCGGGTTAAAATCCGCGTTGGGGTCTCTGAGGAAACGAGGCTTGAGTATATAACCTGCCTTGCCATTTTGTCGGAATTTACCATGATGTAGTTGGACTGGCATTTCGCGTGTCTGGAGGTTCAGGGCTACGATTTGACATCCAACGTTCCAAGCATCTTCAGGGGCATAATTACTAGAGTCCCATCGAAATCCTCCAGGGTAGACTCTTGACAGCTGTTTAGTGTTATACTTGATAAAATCGTCCGTGCTCTGAGTAGCCAGCTTTTCCAGTTTCTTCTCAGAGAATGARGACGATTGGTAAAACTTTCCATGGTCTTGCGAATATTCAAAACTATTGAAATGAACATTGACGAAATAATTGATGAGYGARGAGAATTCTTTTGCGATAGGTCTTGGTGTCTTGTGCTTCTTCTTCTTTTCTTTAACAGTTTGATCCTGGCTGCTATCATTATCATCGTCGCTGTCGTCGCAGCTGCTGGTGCTTTCATCATCTGCCATGGAAAACTCCGCAGAACTGTATTCCTGCTGTGGTTTCAACTTCTTCCCGCGTACAAATATTCTATACTTGAATCTATCTGGTGTACCAGGGAGCATCTCATCGACCGGTTCCTTCTGTAGATATTCACCAAGAATGCCGACCAAGTACGATGCCATCTTCTGTTGGTACTGAACACTGCAGTGATTTTCAATATTCAAGATGACAGGATACGGCGACACTTCAAAGGCATGTTTCTTGATTTTCTTTATAACATCCTTGAAGAGTATCTTGGAAGTGAGTGTGTGTCCATGGTATATGACGGGTTCTCCATCGTCCCCATCCCAGCAATCCAATTCAACGCACCTGCAACCTTCCTTTAACACCTTAACATATGCATCTACACTGGAATCGCCCAAGCATTGGTCGCTTACTAGGTAAGTATTATGCGACGAAGCGATGTAGTAGTGAGCAAAAGGTTGGTCCATGTTTTGGTAGACCTTATCATGCTCAGGATTGAACAGTTCGCCTTCAACTGATGACATGAACTTTATGAAGCCATCAAATCCCAGCTCGTTATGCTTACGGCCCTCTGGCGTTAATTCGTAGGCGTTAATAAAACGTCGACACTCTTCGTGTGTTACGTTTTCTTGGCATTGCCGGTTGATTAAGAAGTACTGTAAGTCATCAATAGATAGAAAGGCACCATTTGATGAGCATTGTGTGAACAGATTGGCAAGCTCCCCTCGTTTAAGATACTCTCCCAGAAAAGTGATGAACTCGTCACAAGTGATGTCGTCCTCTTTACCAAGAGTGTTTTTCAAAAATGATTTTACAAGACGCGGCTCRGCATGAAAACCTTGAGAAGTCAAGAAATTTAGCACGTTCACATATTTGATGGTATGGACCCCGTTCTTGCTCAACTTCTCAAATTCGTTCGTCATCCACTTCTCTCTTCGCTCTTTCTCGAGAATTCTTGTTGCGCGATTGTGAATCAAAGCTTTAATTCCAGTCAACCATAAGATGGCCTCGTCAGAATTCGGAGCAATGAAGAAGACTTCTTCACTTTTATCTGCGTTTAAAGCATTAATCGCAACTCCGAAGCATCTTTCCAGATGTCGCTTGTCGACTCCTTTAAACTTTCCGGGATTCGTCTCTGAATTGAGAACTTTCTTAACATTAGAGATGTTGATATTTTTCTCGGTTTTCTTTAGTTGATAAGTTATGTATAGCTGGTCTCTTGAAAGACTTACACTATTTTTGGCATTTTTCTTCAAATCAACTGGTAGTTTGCTTTGGCTATTCACCCAGATTTTTGTCATCTCGCACCCTTTTCGCATAGCTTTCCAGCAATCTTGAATGAGAGGTCGTACATGTTTGCTTGAGCCATTCGCTTCAGCCATGATTATAAATCAAAGTCGACTGAATCAAAAAACCGTATCCAAACAACTTACATTATCTTCTGGAACTTTCTRTTGTGAAATATCACCGAAGCGCTAAATACAAACAGACTGCGAGCATAGTTTTTCCACCATAAACAAGTGTTTTGAAGATTAGTGGAAAGTTCTGCGCGTTAAACAAGTAAAGCGTCGCTTTTGAATACCTGCAAAAGAGGTGGCATTTGTGGTCTGGCAATTATGAAGTTACTTTACATTCAAAACACGAACACACGAATAGTTTGGTGTAAATGTCTAATGGTTCTTTGGACCGAATCGAACTGACTGATACCCAATCACCCTTTAATAGCGACATTGTAAAAAGGATGTAATTATCAGAGTTCATTATAGAGTGATAGTGAATGTAGGAGTCCATGGATTAACTCTACTTATTTTTCGCGTGGTCCAAACAATTATATACCTGTCAAAATGGTATGTTTACCGCGAAATATGAGAAAATAATATCTTGAGAAGACACTCACAACGTACATAGAGAGATTCTTGGAAGCGAACTAAAGGTCGAAATGAAAAAAAAAAAAAAGGAAAATAAATGTAAAAGTGAATTCACGTTAATTATAAATCATTGTATATTTTTTTTGGTCTTTCCACAGTTAAAAGAAGAAAAAAAAAATAGAATCTTAAGTTGATGAACGAGTTTTCAAGACAACGAATTTAAAAGGAAATAAACGGCATGTTTTCGTGCTACCTTGATTGAAACGGAAATTCAACCAAACACTCTTCGCTAGAAATAAATGAGGGATGCAAAACGGTAATATAACGGTAAAATATTTTATGTATAAAATGCTACACTAACCTGGCAGCAAGTTAAAATTACATTTTCTGTCTTAATAAATTAATACATATTTACAATCTCTTAACAATAAAATTAAGATGCTCGAAACTTGCACCTTTGTGTCTCTCTGTTTGTTCATTTTTGCATCACTTCAGTTGGATGGTAAAACAGATACAATTTAGACTTTCTGGCATTTCACATTGACAAGCACAATTACAGCCTCCACACTGAAAATAAAAAAATGCATATTATATTTCAGAAAAATAAAAGCATAGAGGTTTGCAGAAAATTGAAAATTGAGCATGTAAGATGTGGGCTTCCTGTGGTTTTTGAGATTGAATTACTTACAAAACATACTTTATACACCTAATTGAAAAAACGTAGTCGTGTTTGAAAAGGTCACATCATAGAAGCTAAGACCGAAAGGGATTTTGAGTACCACTAAATTGGGATTACATTTGCATATATGGTGTTTCACATGGTGCACGGTACAGCAACTAGAGCTAGTAAGATTAACAGCATGCTAGTCTTWTATVYTGGASAGCTGTTTGTATGAAATTAGCCAAATTGTTTGTCTTCCCAAGTACCTTTTCGGTCTTAGCTTCTATGATTAGACCTTTTTGGACCCGACAGCGTTTCTTCAATTAGGTGTATACATGCATCAGGAGTTTCGAGGTAGGGTTGTCGTACGTATTCCATATATGGTATTAACTAACAAGCGTATTATAGAGGCCCCTAACAAGCGAATAGAAGCACCTAACAAGCGAATAGCGGCCCCTAAGGAATCCCAATTTACCGGTGCTATTAGCAATGCAAAATACTTTAAATGTCACAAACAATTCGTTGTTTGCCAGCGTAATCTCTCGTGGTCAAGTTAGTTAAGGCGCTTTACATTTGTAGTAGAAGGGTTAGGTTTAGGGAAAAGGACGGGTCAGGCTATAAAATGTTAAATTCATAATTCTAAGTTAAAATTTGATAAGAAAATTTTTAATAAGTTAAGGCGTAGCTAAAAAGCTCGAATAAGTCGATAAAAAACTGTAGAAAAATATACAAGTGAAAAAAAGTATGGACCCCTGTTTGCTTGTTAGGTGCTTCTATTCTCTTGTTAGGTGCTTCCATTCACTTGTTAGGTGCTTCTATTCGCTTGTTAGGTGCTTCCATTCGCTTGTTAGGTGCTTCTATTCGCTTGTTAGTTTGTGCCATATATGGAATACGTACTACAAACCCACCTCGGAGTTTCAGAGAACAATGCGTCCGCCATCATGAAAAGTGAGTCCCAAATCACTGTTTTGCTTTAGAAAAAATTTCGTAGTTGCTCCGTCAACTAATCTATCATTATATTGTAATATTATACTAACTTGACATTAGCTTAGAACCTTTTAATTCCTTTAGGAGTTATAATTTAGTAATTCGAGTCCCACTTTTCAAGATGGCGGACGCATTGTTCTCAAAAACTCCTGATGCATGTATTACCTATACAAATAATCGAAAATAGACCAAGAAAATCACAAGCATGTGCTTTCCGTGTTTGCTTTGCATGTGTGTATGTGTTGTGGCACATATGGCCAATGGCATATAACACAATAGTAACACTAATAATAACATACTACCACAGGTGATGCACACTTTTTCAGTGCATGCTCATACAAAGGTAGTGTGATCTTTGAATTTCTAGTCTATCTTTTAAATCATTAAAATGCAAAAAAATATAYAGAAAACTCTAACTTGCAAGGTGTGGTTTAGTACCCCACGCAGGTTGCACAKGTGGTTGATTGACTCTATTACTTTGAGTGGTTGTGCCATTTTGTTTAGCAATAGCKTTTGAATCATTGYGCACAGCCAAGAGTTCCGATTGCTTATCAGAGTCTGGCAGAAGACTCACAAGTTCATTAAAAATGAAAGTAAAATTAGACTCAAACAGAGCTATGCAATTATCATGGACTGCCGCAATACCTTGAAAAATAGGAGGTAGGGCAAYCCATGAATCATGGGAATACATAGACTCCTGGCAGCAATTTCTGATGTTGTCTCAATAATACTAAATAGAATTATACTTACTGTGCATTCAGGACCCTGACAGTCCTGGCAAATTTCTCCTCCTGGTTCAGCATTCATGCAACAACAAAATGTCTGGTCACACCACTGAAAACAAACCAAACAAGCAGGCAAAAATAAAAAAAATTGAATATTAGATGATTGGTCAATGTCGAGCCCACAGTCTATCTGTCAGTGGTCTATTGATTGGTGCCACAAGAGGTTGTAACTTCATGTCCAAATACACCAAAGTGAGCACCCCACTTGATATATTCAGACACTTAATCAGTCAGTAGGCATCATTCACCATCATTTAGCGTCATTATCCACTATTCACCGTCATTCACCATCATTTGACGTCATAACTTATGTGTCCATCTGAATTATTTTTGAGGACCCTTATGAAAATCACCTTTGGTGATAAGGCTTCCTTGTTAAATATATTATTATTATCATATTATTATTATTAATTATTAGTAAAAATGTAGAGGATCTGGATGTGGGAATTTTGAATGACAGAACAGATGAATAAAAGGAATGGAAGGAGAAAAAAAAGATGGATGGAAGTATTAAAATGGGAAGGCGTGGTAATACTTTTTAAAAGATAGAGGAAGTAGGTACTAGGAGAGAAAGAGAAAAATGGAGGGATGAGGGAGAGTAAAAAGCAAAAAAAGGTTAGAGGAAAGAAGAAATAAAACAGAAGTGGGGAAATAGATGGAGATAAGTAACAAGGGGAGTTCTGACAAGGAAGAAAGTTTTTACGATAAAAAAAAGGAACAAAAAAGAGAGAAAAAGGGAAGGATTGAGAGAGAAAAAAAAGGAAGAAAAGACATGGCGAGGGAGAGGAACGGCAAACTATCACTCACCTCTTTAGAAGGGCAAAATGAATCCATGCATGATTTCTTAGTAGGCGTTGAGCAATCACACATTTCAGCAAAAGAGACAAGACAAGCAGAACAGCATGATGGCCCATCATCAGGTCCAGCACAGCAGCCTCCACAGCACTGCTCTGTTACCCATGCAGGACAAATACTAATTCCTTGTGCCTTTGGAAATAGGAACATTGGGGTTAATACAATTCCATATGAACATTTTGTCACTGGGARAAGACCAAAATGTGAACAAGATTCTTTGCATCAGYWTATGCTTGTTGTTACAGCAAATGWGCATTACCTTTAAACATTCCCTTATAATAAGGGCAATGATAACAAGAAAAACATATACACCAACAGCAATCATTACTATTGCTCCTGTAGACAATGCTGGTTCATCAACTGTTGACACCTGAGCTTCAGTTGGCTGGAAATAAAAAAATAAATAAGTTAGAAGATCAAAGCTAAATAAGGAATAGCTTAGATAATCATCTTAATCATCTACCAAAATGTCATAAATGTGATCAGACTATTTGAATTGATATTCCAGAAGTTGGTTATACAATATAAAAATTGTCAAGAAAGGATGAATAGATGCAAGCGAGACAGTTTAAACTTACAGGCAAAGTTGGCGCCATCTTTAAATTTTGTTTAATGTTGTTCACGCAGTAACGTAAAACTATTCAAACTGCTCTCAAACTCTTTTTTCTTGACACCAAAGCCGTTTAACACTGTCCCATGCAGCAATACTTCGACGAGTATGCGTATTTTAATTGTATTTCGGAGTGCCTTTCATAAGAACTCTTTTTGGATTTCTTTCAGTTGGTCTCGAGTTGTGAGGGTAAACGATTTTCTGCCTCTCGTAACAACGGATAACTCATCCACAAAAAAAGCCACCGTCAATCCATTATCCTCGAATAAATTGAGCAACTCATTGCATCCGCTACATAATGACATAAAATACAAAGGACTTGAAGCGATAATCCAGCAATAAAGATAACTTTTTCTCGTTGTTTTAACGAATGATAATGATCACAATATGCTCAAAACAATGTGGGCCCTAGTCTTCCACGGCTT